TTTTTTTTTTTTTTTGGGGGGGGGGGGGTAATGAAAGTGTTCCAAAACGCGACATTAATTTATTGACGACCTAATATATATTAAATAAAAAGATATTCAAATCATGCTTCACTTTTCTTTGAACTAATGATTAACATATTTTTTTTTCTTGTGTAATATTTTTTTTATCATAGCCAGGATCCTCAAAAGATAAAAGTGGCCTGGGTCTCATTCTGAAGCTCTGAGAGGGTCTGCTTAGTACATGTGGAGTCACTAACTAAAGCTAGAAAACAGACATTGGGTCACGGTTAGTTTGTTTGTGGTTTGAACTAGGTTACTTAGGATATATATATGGAGTAAGCCAAAACTAGAAAACAGACAATGACCTACGGCTTCTTTTTTTACGGATAGAACTAGATAACTCATTATATATGGAGTAAACTAAAGCTAGAAAACAGATATTGGGTCACGGCTTGTTTGTTTGTGGCTGGAACCAGTTCATTCAGTATATGTTGAGTCAGTAACTGAAGCTAGAAAATAGACATTTGGTCACAATCTGTTTATTTGTTGCTAAGCAAAAAGATAAACTCGTGCTATATGCGCTAGTCGTCCCTAATTTTGAGTCTAAGGATTATCCTGTCATGGAATTCCAAAAACCTTTATCTGATTACAACTATGTGAGCCGAATATATGATAATTTTCTGTCCGAAAAGGTTGATATATATCCTTCCTAAAAGCGATTGATTTTCGGTAGCACCACACAACTCACAAAATGCCAAACAATGTCAAAATGCATTTCTGATATATGCTATTCAACCTTGACTTTATATCGGCTGTGGTTTTCACGTGGCATGTTTTCAAAATCCTTATAATATAACACTCTTAACGTTGTAGATGAGAGTGGGACAGCAAGATGAAGTTACACTTGACATTATTGTGTGTGAATGAATCCCTTAATAACCAGCTGAAGTCGACGAAATTGAAATGACGATGATAGAAGCGTTGAATGTAAAATAGCTCTTGGATTTCTTAATCTCTTAGATACTTCACTTAGAGAAAACTTTAAAACACAATTTTATCATTCTGCTGCTTCTATTAATTCTTTCTAAGAAAAGATCCAACAGAAAAAAATTAAATAGAGACCACTAGATGACGATAAAATACGTGTTTACCTAATATGTTTGGTTTGAATTTCGCGCAAAGCTACACAAGGGTTATCTGCGCTAGCCGTCCCTAATTTAGCAGTGAAAGACTAGAGAAAAGGCATCTGGTAATAATCACCCACCGAAAACTCTTGGGCTACTCTTTTATCAACGAATACTGGGGATTGACCGTGACATCATAACGCC